TCGAGGATTCCTTTCGGGTACTGCCAGTCACAGTGCCCAAGATGGAGCACATCAAAGTCGCACCAGGACAAGCAAAGGCCATCGAAACACTACCCCTAAAAGCACAATGAACTGCAGAGCTGACAAGACTGGCAGGCAGTTACATAACAGACACGTGACACAGGATCACTCCAAGGAACTCCGATTTCCGGCAAACTTGGCCCAGCTGAACCTTCCCAGAGGAACATGCACATACAAGCTTCCAGACACTGCGGCATCTCAGGAACGACCACCCACTGTTCGACCACATTGTCAACTGAATCCCGACTGGGACGAGAACACCCCTGCACTGGTTGTTGGACAGCCCATGGTCGAGCTGTCAACCGTCACGAGATCCACAAACCGACAATTGTGAAGTTTCTATTTCAATTGTTGCCAGTTGGGAAAAGGATCCACCGGGATGACCCCAAGTATGATCACCACTGTCCCCGTTGTGGCGGTGATCACGAGACTGAAACCCATGTTGACCGATGCCCGCATGTTGACGTGGATTTGTGGCGAGGGACCATGCAACGAGCGATCAGCACAAGGTTGCGCAAGAATTCCACAGACCCCTTCCTCCTGGAAATTGTCCTGGATGGACTACAATACCACTTTGAAGATCGATTCCTCCACCCATGGCATTACCCGGACAGGTATAGGGACCTTGTTGACACTCAAAATCTCATTGGTTGGGATAACTTCCTGAGAGGACGTTTGTCCACACACTGGGCTAAGCATCAAGATGCATATCTGCATCGGGTCGGCTCCCAGGAGCCCACCAAGACCGGGCAGCTCTGGGTCACCAACCTAGCCTCACTGCTCATCCAGCAGTGGTGGAGCCTGCGGGAGGATCGAAATGCTGCCAGGCATGGCAAAGACAGGGAAGACCAGTGGAAGAAGAAGCACGAACAGCTTCAGCGGGAGGTGGAACTCATTTACGAGAAAGCGGATCTGATCCCAGCGGAGCTGGTGGATTTTATCTTCAAGCGACCGCTTGAGCAAATGGCAAAGGGCCCAGGCGACATCAAAGCGTGGCTTGCCAATTGGCTGCCTGTCGTCGACAAGGCACTTAGGGACGAGCATGCATGCACAGTGCAGAACAATGACGCAGGGTAACTACGCACAGAGGGGGTCTTCCCGTAGAAATAGATGGCAATCCAGCCAAGGGTAACTAGTTAGTCGTACAGCATCCTCCGGAGTTTTGCTAAAATTTCTCCGTTGGGGGGCTTACACTAGGCCCATCCTAAGTGGGCGCACTCGTGCGCCTGAGGTATATGGGTTCGTCACGGCACCGTTCAGCGGATCGTCTGACGAGGTGTAGCCTTTAAAATAAAATTTCGTTATTTTCATGCTCTCGTGCCCACTTGAGCACATTAAGGTGACCTCCTTTGGCAGCAGCCTCGCATGTGGAGTGATCCCATGGGCAAACATTTTCGCGGGCCCACTTCAGCACAGCCATCAAGGTGACCTCCATTGGCAGCAGCCTTACATGTCGAGTGATCCCATGGGCAACCATTTTCGCGAGCCCACTTCAGCACATCTAAGTGACCTCCTTGGGCAGCAGCCTCGCATGTGGAGTGATCCCATGGGCAACCATTTTCGTGAGCCCACTTTAGAATATCCAAATGCCCAAACAAAGCAGCATCGGAACATGTCCTTTCGTCCCATGGATAGTCATTCTCTCGTAACCATTGGAGCAAATGCAAATGGCCATGTGCAGCCGCTGCAGCGCACGTTCGGCGGCTCCACGGAAGTCCTTTCTTTCGTGCCCACTGCATTACAGTAGGATTCCCTGTCTTTGCTAATACACGGCAAACAAGATGACGACGGGGCTTTTTATGGGGGGAGGTGTCCCTCAGCCAGTGTTCTGCACGTGACTCATTACAGAATGCTTCACTGCAAAAAGTGTCCGTGATTTCTGCCGAGCGAGTGCCACGATCAGGGTGTCCGGGGGTATCGGTTACCTTCCTTGGATTTTTCTGTAGTTCCTTTTCGCAGTACTCCTTGTACAGCTTATTGAACCTCTTGTTGGCAGCTCCTACAAAGGCGTGCTGTCCAACACCAACAAAAGAGAGAAGCTTGTTGGTCCAGATCAAGTCGTCAGCATTCAGGAGGGGGCTGGGTGGAGAAGCCATCTTCTTCTGCTTCTTTTTTTCCGGGTTCGCCGGTGGTAGTACCAGCATCAGTTCCGTTGTTGTTTGGGCTGCTGCCACCTACAGCAATGCTACTAGCCCAGCTGCCAGTAGTACATGTACTTACTGTACTTGCAGTATCATCATCGGGGCTAGATCTACTTCCAGAAGACATGACTCAGCAAAAAAAGGTGGTTGGATCCGGATCTTTTTGAGCAGTAAGAGGTTTTGGTCTTCTCAGATTGTGAGTTAAAGGGTAAGGCTTAAGGCTTATTTGGAAAATTTAAATGAATGGCAAAGGAGGTGACCCCCCCCCAGGGATCGAGCGTTTTTGTGCAAAAAAGATACAAAGCCAGCTGAGGCTGGAAATGTGTCCTGAGTGGTCTGGGACTGGGATTGTGTCCTGAATGGTTCTAATAATAATATTAAGCCATGCAGCTCAGGTGCAACCAAGTACAAGGGCAAAAGTCCCGGAAACTAATAATACTGCTACTGCAGATCCACTGGGGATCTACTTAATTAAAAGCTGTTCATTTTGACAGCCGACATGCCTAAAAACATCCTATGACTGGTTGCCACAGCGATCTCACTAGGGCGTTTTCACCGAGACGAGTGGCCTATGGTGAACAAATACTTTTGATTGATTACATTTCGAAAAATGGGGTGTGGTCCTCAGGAGGTTGACGGGTGTTTTGCCGTGCGCAGTTTCTGCAGCGTATTTGCTGCCTTTTCTCTCTCACAGTCAGTCAAGTCCCCACTCAATGGCTGCGTTTTCCAGCCACATGATTGCCTCATCTCTCTCCTCCACCAAATCACATGAGCCGTCTGACAAGGCAACTCCTAAGTGGCATGCCGCATGGGAATTTCCCAAGCCAGCTGCGAGGGTTACGTACATGATGCCGCTTGTTTGTTCGTCTAGGCTTTCCAAATGAACCAAGCCGGTGTGGTACGTCCCTGTGTGACTGCCTGCTCTGTGGGCCTCTTTCAACCAGCGCATGGCTCTGATAGCCGAGGCAGGGAATCCGTCTTTGCCTTTGTCGTAGTTGTGGCCAAGTTGCAGCATTGCCTCGACACTACCCGTTTCGGCTTCACGGAATAGCTCCCGTTTCTCCCTATTCTTATGTACGCAATCCTTCCAAGTCTAGGCAAGATATCCGTGGATGACGCCGGAGCCCACTAGAGTCTTGATTGTATTAAGGTACTGATGGGCTGGCCTTAGGTTGGCGCCCATTTTTGCTCTGGTGATTGGTGACACTCCTCCCAAAAATCCAAAACAGTCCAGGTGCTCTTCTATTGTCTCGCGCTCGTACACTATGCCGTCCTCCGTCACGACCGGGTTCCAGGGCAACTGGAACGACAGGGGGCATACCAACCCCTGCATGGGGCATTTCCTGGTCAACGGATAAAGCTTCTGTTCTTCCTTCTTTTGTTTTGTCTCTTTCCATTGTGACAGGAGTGGGTCCGTGTTGTCAACGTCAGCCTCCGCAAGAGCCTCTATGGTTTGCCGGACCCAGAGTGCTGGGGATACCTTCTCTCCCTTGCTGGCTTCGTTGTTGTCCTCCTGAGTGCACTCGCGCTCGTAGATTTGTCCATCCCGTCCAACTACAGGGTCCCAGGGCAGGGCTTTGCAGTTAGGGCAGATCAAGTGTTCCCACTGAGATTTCTGTGGGTGCTGAGAGGCCGGCTGCTTGGAATCTTCCACAGAATATTCAGGCGGTGTTGTGGTGTGGCTGTTCTCCTTTGTTGCGGGCTGCTTGGAGTCTTCAATGAGGCGTTCAGCACCGAGCGGCTGCTTGGAATCTTCCGTGGAATATTCAGTCGGCGTCTTCCCCTCCTGCGACGCATGCTGCTTTGAGTCTTCTCTGAGGTGTTCGGGAGGTGGTATCTTCTCCTGCGTCGCTGGCTGGTTCGAGTCTTCCACGGAATATTCAGGCGGTGTTGTGGGTGGGCTCTTCTCCCTTGTTGCGGGCTGCTTAGAGTCTTCAATGAGGCGTTCGGCACTGTGCGGTTTTTGTTGCAGACCCCTCCGTTTTGGATACACTCTGTCCATTACGTCTTTCATTTTTTGCGCCTCTTGGATAGCTAGGTCAGACGTAGGCGGTGGCTGAGACAGATTTGGCAGCATGCCTAATGTATTATAAAAAAGCTTGGTTCTTTTGCTTGGCATTGGCAAACACACACCGTTTCTCTTTTCACCCTTCACTGAAGAGCCCTTTGACGAAAAGGGTGGGTCAGGCATGCTGCTTTTTGAAAAGAAGGAGGAGATCTGTGTGACAGTTTTCGAGCTGGCTAGATTGTGAGAAGTGTTTTGTTTCCCCTCAACTACGCAGCTAGCAAGCTGAGGGCCTTTTGAACTTACTTAATTAATCTTGTGTGTGTGTGTTTGTAAGGTTAAGGCTAGATACCGGTACGTACATATGATGTGTTTTCCCTTGCAAGGTTAAGGCTAGCTATGGAAACGAGCAAGGTCAAACCAGAACCCTTTTGATTCAATCAAATACTAGCAAAAATGCCCCTCACAGGATGACGCAGGAAGAAACATAGCTTATTTAACGACATTAAGAAAAGGGTGCTGAAAGCGGGACTCAGAGGTATATTGTAATACAGAGTTTATGTCTTCACTATTACAAAAAAGCTTCAAAGTGGTTCCAGAGATGCTTATTCAACGACATTAAGAAAAGGGTGCTGAAAAGCGGGACTCAGAGGTATATTGTAATACAGAGTTTATGTCTTCACTATTACAAAAAAGCTTCAAAGTGGTTCCAGAGATGGCCCTTTTTCGACTAGCTTGTTGGTGTAGAAAGCAACTACCTACCTGGCACCAATGGCAGGCTCTGTACCAATGGCATGCTCTGTGTGAGCTATGCAGCTGTTTCTTGTCAGACTACTAGCTAGCTAGAATAAAGACTACTAGTATGCATCGGTAGCGGCCATGCCTGAAACTTCATATTTGATTGCGCGCTCTAGATGTTTGCCTCTGCCATTGAATCACATCCGAACGATGATTGGCCTCGGCGATTTGGTATGTGTTCTGAAACCCGCCGAAGTCATTGGCATGCATCAACTTGAGAATATCCAGACGGCCATTTTGGGCAGCAACATCACATGTCTGTTGGCCCCATGGACATCCATTTTCATGAGCCCACTTTAAAACTTCCAGGTGGCCATTTTCAGCAGCAGCGCTGCACGTCTTCTCGGTCCATGGACAACCGTTTTCGCGGGCCCACTTCAAAAAATCCAGATGGCCGTCTGTGGCGGCATTAGAGCATGTGTGTTCGTCCCATGGGCAGCCATTTTTGCGGGCCCACTTTACAACTTCCAACTGTCCATTTGAAGCAGCGGCCTCGCATATCCGTTTTGTCCATGGACAACCGTTTTCACGAGCCCACTTCAAAGTGTCCAAGTGGCCTTGCGCTGCAGCCGACACCGCACATGTATTTTCGTCCCATGGACAACCATTTGCACGGGCCCACTTCAAGATATCCAAATGGCCCTCCATAGCTGCATATTCACATGTCCGCTCATCCCCTGCACAACCATTCTCACGAGCCCACTTCAAGATTTCAAAATGGCCGTACTCTGCGGCATAGGTGCATGTCCTCGCATCCCACGGACAGCCGTTTTCATGAGCCCACTGGAGCACATCCAGGTGGCCTCCTCTAGCAGCACCCAAGCATGTCCTTGCATTCCATGGACAACCATTGTCACGCGCCCACTTCAAAGTGTCCAAATGGCCATGCTCTGCAGCAGACCCACATGTATTGGCACTCCATTGGCACCCGTTTTCACGAGCCCACTTCATAATATCCAGATGGCCATTTTTGGCACATCTAAGAAGCGCATTTTTAGGTAGCGCGAAAACGGGAGCACCCCTACCATACCATTCCACGTGTTTGGCATATACATCTAAGAAGCGCATTTTAGCCACCCAATTTACCAGTGTGCTTGTGCGTGATGGTCTTGTGCAAGAGCCTCTACAGTCCGATGCAGGTGCCTACTATTAACTCAGCTTTGCGTCAAATGATCTTGATGTTGCCTATAGATTCGTACGGTACATTGCGTCATAATAAGCAAGGCTACAACTAGTGTTTACGCATATGCTTAACGAAAGTGCATGGAGAACAGAACATTCTTTACTATTGAACAAGATTCTTGTGGGTGCGCCTGCTTCAACATGCAAATGGGCACATTCTTTGTGCACCAAGCTATAAACAGTTTTCGCAATCGGCATTCATTTTCCTTATGCCCCTTGGACCTGACCGCATTCTGCCTTTATCCAAGGCAAAAACTTTGGCCACCCCTCAAATCTTTTCCAGTTGCACAAAATAAACACGCACGATGGTCAAATTCATGTGCCCGTACTGCTTAAAAACGTGCAAGACCGACTGGGGTTTGAGCGGCATCAGGATACAGTTTGCCGAATCCCGCATTCGATTCAGACACGGACTGACCCTGACTCCCACGACAACGACCGTGGGGATGATGACAATGGCGGTGGTGGAAAAAGGAGAGCAAGAGATGATGAGGAGACAAGCAGTGCAGAGGAAATAGTGATGAGGAAAGACCTAGGAAGAAGATGCACTTGAGCCAGAATTAGAGGCCATAGAGTCAATCACTGACAGAGGAGAAGAAGCACTCCAGACAAGAGTGACTTACCAGTGGATGCCACACAGATAGTATTGCAGCTTATTGGGACGGAGAATTGTTACAC